CTGCACCTGGCCATCCAAAATTCTCAAGCGTCCCATGTTGCTGCGCTACTCACCAGTTGATGACTGAGAGGTCAGGAAAGAATGTTACATAAAGGGAGATTACCAGTCAAATGTGTGACCCGAAATGCTGCTCTGGACGAGACCTTTCACTCACCGGTGCGACGCCCTGCAATGCTGGGTGTGGTAGCCCAACTGGCACCAAGGACAATGTCGTGCTTGCCATCCAGAAAGTCGGAAGAGTAGCCAGTGTAGTACAGCGATGATTTGTATCCCTCGTACTCTACATGTGGAGAGCTGGTCCACTCCCAAACGCCTCCATTGTGGCCTGGAATAACGATGCCGCTCTCCTGTCTGGCCAGCTGAGGAGGAACGGGGTGCCAATTGGTGTAGCCCACATTGCTTCCTGGACGATCCGTCACGTTGGGCCCGCTCGAAGCATCCAGGAAGCACCTCAGCTCTGCGTGCGTTGGCAGTCTGCCACCCTTCGAAGCTGCATAGTCTGCAAGCTGTTTGCCAGACGCACAGAGCGGCCAGAGGTGAGCGACGCTCATGCCGACAGGACCGTATACGGTCCGGACGCGGAAGGGATCGCTTGACGAGCCCGCACCGATCCAAGAGCTCGGCACGGCATCTGCATCTCCGACAAGCTTGTGGTCTTGAAGGTACTTCAAGTACTGGCCATTCGAAATGGGAGCCGCTTCAGCCGCGAAGGCTCCAGTCTGCATCACGCGCGCCGGAGACTCGTTGTCCCAGCCAAACGACGCATGCAGCTGAGCATTGAGGTCTTCGACCTTCTTGGACGGCTTGCTAATGGCAAATTTCGCGTCCTGCCGATCGTCGTCATCGTGACCGATGATGACCGGGGCTGCCTTGAAATGAAGCAGAGCCGTTCGAGCAGCCTCGCCGCCCACTGCCGCGTCTGCCGCGTCCCATTGACGAGCAAGGGACGGCCAGTCGGGTGCTGTGAAGCCAGCAGGTGGCAGAGTGTTGGGACTCTGCATGAGCATATAGAGTAAAGTCTCCATGTGCAGAGCGATATGTTCATACACCATCCAGATCGTCCGAGCCAGGGCGCGGTCAAGCGATCGAGCCCCGGTCGCGACATCGCCGTAAATGCCGTATATGCGCTCCATCACCTTTTCGCGATAAGCAAGGATCGCGTCGAGAGCAGGCCAATCTTCATCATTTTGAGGAACCTCGCTATGCGGGTTGCACTTCGACTCGTCGTCCATGTGCGGGTCGATGCCTCGTTCAAAGATGCAAGAAAAGTGCGAGTCGATGTGCTTCTCACCCGTGACCTTGCACACCATGATATCGACAAAGGCCGGAATGTGGCCGATGTAGAAGAGGCAAATGTGGCGCAGATCGATGGGCTTCTCGAAGAGCATCTTTGGTGGGATCATGGTCAGTGTGACCGTGTCCCATGCTTTCCACATCGTCTGCCACTCGTCAATGCTTGGCAAGCCGGTCCGCGCGTGGCGATGCGGCGCTTTGAGCGCATTCGCACCGGCTCCACCTGTGCTGTCAAATTCCCAGCTACCGCGCGCACCAAAGGCTTGCTGCGCCGTCAGTCCGGCCAATTGGTCGACCCGACTGCCAGTATTGAGATGGGAGCTTGGGAAATGGAAAGCGGGCCTCTCGACGAGCCACATGTCGTACTTCTTGTCTCCATCGGTACTCCATCGTTGCACGACTCGAAGACCAGCCTGGTCGAGGACATCATGGATCTCGAGCTCACTGTGCTTGTAAGACACCTCGACGAGGATCAGCTCGCCCTCTTCGATGTGGATTGCCTCAGCTTCGCCAGGCACATTTAGGGTTTGAGCCTTGGTGCTCTGGTAGTAACTTTCATGGCGACCCTCCAACTCGTTGTAGCGATCGTGGTAGCGCCACGCGCCGTTCTGGAAGACGTCTTTGCCAAGAACGCGATTTGCGTGGACCAAGCCTTCGAGGATGAATTTCTCCGTGGTGCCGTTGGCATCGTGATATGCGGCTGCGACATCTTCAGGCTTGTTACGACGATCGATGGAGATCAGCAATGAGTCTCCTGGCCTCAGGGCTTTCTCGCTAGACGCATGCAGGAAGTCGGCGAGCTCTCGGCGATCAAGGTTGCCGCAACTAGAGCCGAGCCAAAGAAAACATCTCTGGCCTTCCTTTTGCCCCTGTTTCGGAGCTAAGCCGCCTTGACCAACATACTCGAGACCTGTTTGCGAGTCCAATGAGCGCATAAGCTAGAGTTACTCGTCCCTTGACGTTTGCTCCCCACAGCTCACCTTGGTCGTAGGTGGCCCAAATGCCGTTGAGTGCAACGGCACCATCGTAGATGGTGAAATGGTGTTTATCCTTCGTGTCACTAGCGCCTCTCTCTTGATCGTGGAGCTCGCCGAGCGTGCGAACCAGCTCAGAACGATCGAGATCGAGTGCGTAGTAATTGACGGCGGGCGAGGCAGACGACTGCTTCGTGCCCGCCTTGTTCTCATTCGTCACCTTGGCAGCGTCTGGGAGACCCTGCAAGGCGCGAATGAGATGGATGGTCTGTGCATACATCGTAGCATGCGTCAACATCTTCTCACGTCCGAGTGGCGCAGACAAGCCGGCTCGTCATGCCGTTGCTCACTTTGCGCAGACTGCCAGCGCCCAGCTCGATAAGACTAGCCGGTCCCACAGCGCTATCCCCGTCCAAGCCCTCCTCGGCATTCACACCTCCATTGTGCTTGCCAACTTGAGCATCGCCCCACTTCTCCTTGTACTGATCCAGAACCGGGTATCCGCCGTCAGTCTCGTCTTTGCTCTCACCGCCATCGCCGCCTTGGTCTTGGCCATCTTGATCGCCTTGCTTCTTGGACGGTCGAGTGGGATGACCAAA